TATATATATATATATATATATATATATATATATGTATGTATATATATGTATATGTATATATATGTGTATGTATATATATGTATATGTATATATATGTATATGTATATGAATGTATATATATGTATATGTATATATATATATATAAATATGTATATATATATGTATATGTATATGTATATATGTATATATATGTATATGTATATGTATATATGTATATGTATATATGTATATATATATGTGTATATATATATATATATATAAATATGTATATATATGTATATATATATATAAATATGTATATATGTATATATGTATATACATATATAAATATGTATATATGTATATATATGTATATACATATATACATATATATATATATATAAATATATAAGTGCAGGTGTACCTGAAAGACAAAAAACACATGTCAAGGATAGAAAAAATAATTACAAATACAAAACAGGTTGAGCAGAGTAAATAAATCAGCACTCAGCTTTCCGATTGGACTATTCCTGCAGCCAAGCGTGTATGTTAAACATACACTAAAAAAATATGATAAAAGATCTATTGGTAAGATGCAAGCTAAACACTAATGATGTCAAACAATACAGTATATGAAGCAGCAGCCCTAACATGAGTCTGCAGTGAGTAGATGGGTATGAATGAATACAGCAGCATGAGATAGCCAACAGCATGAGTCACAAATCAACAATGACAGTGGCATTACAGTGAGGTTTTTTTTTTTCACACTGGTTCTCCTGGTTAGAGATTCATGAGTCCAACAGCCTCAGGGTAGAAGCTGTTCCTCAGTCTAGTGGTTCTACATTTAATGCTCCTCAACCTCCTTCCTGAGGGGAGCGAGGCAAAAAGTGTGTGCTGGGTGAGTGTGGTCCTTCATGATGCAGGTGGCCCTCTTCCTGCATCTGGAGGTGTAGATGTCTGTGATGGTGGAGAGACTAACTCCAACAGACTTAAGAGTTTAGTGCATTACAAGAGCATGAGAAGGGTTTCTAAAACTTAAAATATATAAATAAATAAATATAGTGTTGCTACTTCTCCGATTTTCACTCTTTGCGCGCGGGCGTGTGTGTGTCTGGAACCTAAACCCCACAATAAACGATGGACTACTGTATGCTAAAAGCACATATTGGACATGCTTTCATTAAAATGACAGCAAACAATACCATTATTCATGTTCTCTCTTGTTATAATCAAATAAACAAACTTCATTAATGATTTGTTTGTTCTTTCTTAAAAGACAGTCAGACTTAAACAGTCAGACTATATCTGAGTCCAAGGACAGTGAATGTGCTGGGTGGGGGACAACCCACAGGTCAGAGGTCAGAGGTCATCGTCAGCAGAGTGCATCTTCATGCTACACCAGTCACATCAAACTGATGACCCGGTGGTGCCTTCTATATGGGATCAACAGGGTCAGAACATAGAACTTGGTATTCAGAGTGGGTTCTGTTCTGATCCGAACCAAATTACTGGGTTCTGAGTCAAGAGTTTGTTTCAGTTCTGAGTCTGACTCACAGCAGCCACCTCACCATGACCTTGGATCTCTGTGACTAACTCAGGAATGGTTCTGGTTCAGCTCCCGGCTTCAGATTAGCTCTCGCTCTCTTCATGTGTAGCGAGTGTCTCTCGCTCTCAGGTCCAGACTCGTTCCGTCAGCCAGCTTCTCAGCTCGTCAAAGATAAACGTCAATGTAAACTGACTTCATTCTTCACCACTGGACCAGAACCACTTCCTGTTCTGTCAAAACATCAGCAGAGACCTACTGCTGCCAGAGCTGAGATCCCTTTAGGGTCTGGGTCCTGATACTGGTCTAAGTACAAGTCTGATTCAAGTCCTACCCTGAGTTCTGGTCAAACCCAGGTCTTACTACAGGTCCACTCAAGCATAACCACTTCCTGTTAATTGTGTCAAAGAGACACAAGTCACTTTGACTGAGCCGGGCTTCAGATCCCAGTCTGGTTCTGGCCTCATGATGTGATGGCAGCTGGGTCCAGTCTGGTCCTGGTTCTGGTGTTTCAGCTCTGCTGATGTTAAATGAAGTTGGACCCATCTGATGTGTTCACAGCCTGTTCTCTGACTCACCTGGACTACCTGTGGTTTCTGTGTTTAGTCTGGGCTCAGGTGTTGACAGACAGACGGGTCAGGTGGAGGACAGACAGGCAGATGTGTCTGTCTGACATTAGCAGCTTTGGTGGAACTGTGATGGGAGGGACAGGTCCAGGAAGAACCCCAAAAGAGGTTCTGGTTAAACTTTGATAAGGTCACAAAAATGTTGCAGCTGTTAAAACATTTTCACAAATTAGTAATCTTTACACTTCTCCAGCTTGTCCTCTAGTCTTCAGTCTGTCTCTGTTCCCCAGAGTGTCTCTGCTGTCTTCAGTCTTTCTGTCTCTGTCCCCCCAGAGTGTCTCTGCTGGAGGACTGATGGCATCCTCTCAGAGGTCAAAGGTCACACTCCCAAACTCCCGTGGACTTCCATCATATCTGAGCTTCAAACAGGAAGTGGAGGCTCTGTTTAACTTCTCCTCCATCAAAACCTGTAGAACCATCAACCAGAACCTGTAGTACCAGCAGAACCTTCTGCTGCTCATGGGTCAAGAAATTCTTCCAGTTTTCACACAAAGACCATTTGTCTGAGGCTTACAGCTATGTGGTCAGAGAATATTGTAATTGCTCCTGGTAGGGTCTCCCAAGGCAAATTGGTTCTAGGTGATAGGCCAGACAAAGAGCATTTCCAAAGACTTTTGATGGACAAAAAGAACAAGGGGCTCTGTGTCCCTTGCCCAGAAATGGGTTATCAGGGCCCCACTCTGGAGCCAGGCCTGGGAGAGGGGCTAGCTGGCAAGCACCTGGTGACCAGGTCTCTACCCATGGGGCCCAGTCGGGCTCAGCCCAAATGAGCAACATGGGTTTGCCTTCCTATGGACCCACCACCAGGGACCGTACAATTCAGGAGCATGAATCCATGGGCAGTAGCCAAAGGCGGGGACCTTGGTGCTCTGACCCTGGCTTACCAAAGTTGGCTCTTGGGACATGGAATGTGACCTCTGTGGTAAGGAAGGAGCCTGAGCTTGTGTACGAGATTGAGGTACCAACTAGATATAGCTGAGCTCATATCAATGCACAGCATGGGCTCCGGAACCAATCTCCTTGAGAGGGGCTGGACTTTATTCCACTCCAGAGTTGCCCATGGTGAGAGGTGCCTGGATAGTATGGGTCTACTTTTGGCCCCCTGACTTGGTGCCTGTGTGTTGGAGTTTTCTCCGGTAGATGAGGAGATAGCTTCCCTGTGCCTTTGGGTGGGGGACAGGCTCTGACTGTTGTTTGTGCCTATGTGCCAAATGGCAGTTCAGAATATCCGGCCTTCTTGGAATCCTTGGTGGGGGGGGTGGAAGGTGTGCCAGCTGGGGATTGCTTTATTCTACTGGGGGGACTTCAATGCCCACGTGGGTAATTAGTGTGACCTGGAGGGGCGTGATTGGGAGGGACGGTCTCTCTGATCTGAACATGAGCAGTGTTTTGTTGTTGGACTTCTGTGCTCGTCATAGTTTGTCCATCACAAGCACCACATTCAAATATAAAGGTGTCCATAAGTGCACTTGGCACCAGGATGCCCTAGGTTGTAAATTTATGAATGACTTTGTAGTCATGTCATCTGATTTGCATCTGTTTGTTTTGGACACTAACATGAAGAGAGGAGCTGAGCTGTCAACTGATCACCACCTGGTAGTGAGTTGGATCAGATGGTAGTGGAAGAGGCCGGACAGACCTGGTAGACCCAAACATGTAGTGTGGTTTTTCTGGCAGAAGAACCCATCAGAGAGATCTTCAACTATCACCTCCATTAGAGCTTTAACTACATTCCAGCTGGGGTGGGGGACACTGAGTCTAGTGGGCCATGTTCCATCATTCAATTGTTGAAGTAGCTGCCTTGAGCTGTGGCTGCAAGGTTGTTGGTGCTTCTTGCGGTGGCCTTCCTCAAACTCGGTGGTGGACACTCCGAGTTAGGGAAGCTGTCAAGCTGACGAAGGAGTCCTATCGGTCCTTGTTGGCCGGTGGAACTCCGGAGGTAGCTGAGGAGTACCGGGGGGGGCAAGCAGTCTGCAGCCTTGGCTGTTGCTGAAGCAAAACCTTGGATGTGGGAAGAGTTCAGTGAGGCCTTGGATAAAGACTCTCAGTCAGCTTTGAGGAGATTCTGGCATACCATCAGATGGCTTAGGAGGGGAAAACAGATCTTTACTAACACTGTGTTCAGTGAAGATAGGGTGCTGTTGACCTCAACCAGTGATGTCATCAGGAGGTGGAAGGAATACTTTTTGGACCCTCTCAATCCCACTGGCACATCCATGGAGGAAACTGAGTCCAGAGACTTCGAGGTTGGTCTGTCCATAACCATGGCTGAGGTCACCGAGAGAGTTGAAAAGCTTTGTGGCAGCATAGCTCTGGGAGTGGATGAGATTCACCCTAATTTACTTAAGGCTCTGGATGTTGTAGGGTTGTCTTGGTGGACATGTCTTTGCAACATTCTGTGGACATTGGGGGCAGTGCCACAGTTTGGCAGACTGGGGTGGTGGTTCCCCTCTTCAAAAGGGGGACCAGAAGGTGTGCTCCAGTTAAAGGGGCATGACTCTGCTCAGCCTCCCTGGTAAGGTCTATTCAGGGGTACTGGAGAAGCGAGTCAGATTGTTGGTCGAATCTCTGATAGAGGAGGAACAATGCAGATTCAGTCCTGGCTGTGGAACACTGGAGAGCTTCAGATTATTTTGCAAGATATTCCAGGAAACAGGAGCAGAGTAGGAGAAGTACGTTTGTCTAGTTCAGTCCTCACTGAAGGGACACTGCAAAACCCACGCATGCATGGAGAAAACACGCAAACTCCATCCAGAAAGGCCCTCGGACCGGGATTTGAACCAGCAACCTTATCGCTGAAAGGCAGCATGTAGCATATTTATAATGCAGTGGAGCATGTGACCCTGATACTCAACAGCGATTGGCTGTTCAGTAATCTCACAAGAATTTATGATGGTACATTGGAACTATTGCGAGATTTGATAGATAATGGGAATAGAGAGTGGAAAGTCCAGGGAATGGAAGTTAAATTTACACCTGGGTTACAAGCAGCTTTGCCAGTTGTGTCACTGTGCTGCATATTATACTTTTCAGAAAAGGATATTTTTCTTTTTGAGTTTAGGATTTTATAAAGGAAGTCTAAATTATTACCTGGATTCAGAGAACAAAGGTGGAGGAGGTTCCATTCTGGACCTCCAGCATTTTTTCAGAAATGTTTTTAATCATCCATCCATCCATCCATTTTCTTTACCCGCTTATTCCATTTTTTGTCACGGGGGTCGCTGGTGCCCATGTCCAGCAATCACTGTGCGAGGGGCGGGGTACACCCTGGACGTGTCTCCAGTCCATCACAGGGACACATAGAGACAAACGAGACAAACAACCATTCACTCTCTCACTCACACCTAGGGACAATTTAGAGTTACCAATCAGCCTAACATGCATGTTTTTGGTCTGTGGGAGGAAACCGTAGTACCCGGAGAAAACCCACGCATGCACGGAGAGAACATGCAAACTCCACCCAGAAAGGCCCCTGGACCGGGATTTGAACCAGGGACCTGCTCACTGAGAGGCAGCAGCTCTACCAGTTGTGCCACCGTGCTGCCCTGTTTTTAATCAATCAACCTTTATTTCTACAGGTAAATCCCATTGAGCCTCGAGGACTCATTTACAAGAGAGACCTGATTTAACAAAGAAAGATGACAACAATGGACAACAGCAACAACAATAAACAGTTATAAAAAGTCTTACTGCAGGGTTGTTTTTTTTAACAAATAGGATGGCTAAAAGGAAAAGGTAACAAAAAAAAAAAAAAAAACAGCTAGATTCCAAGACAAATGTAGAAACTAAAAACAGGAACATGTCTGCATTGGACCCTGCCAGGAGTCCAACAGATTCTTAAAGACACTTAGAGAGGTCAAAGTCGAGAGCTTCAAATCTTTTTGTAAGATATTCCAGGAAACAGGAGCGGAGTAGGAGAAGGTCCTTTTGTCTAGTTCAGTCCTCACTGAGGGAACACTGCAGGTAACGATGTCCTGAGAGCGCACGCTGTAGCTGCACTCACACAGAGACATGTAGGAGGAGATGTATGAAGGCAGCAGACCAAGAAGTGATTTAAAGATGGAAATGTACCAGTGGGAGAGTCTGCGTGAAGTTAATGATGTCCAGTTAACCAGTGAATACTGGGTGCAGTGGTGGGTACGATAATCACAGCCAGTTCTGAATCTTAGTGCACCATGATAGACAGCATCCAACATCTGCAGCATCCAACATCTGCAGCATCCAACATCTGCAGGTTCTTGTAGGAGTGTTCATGTAAATAATATCACCAAAATCAATGGAGGGAAGGAAAGTCACAGATACAAGGTGTTTCCTAACATTCAGAGTTAGACAGGATCTGTTTCTGAAAAAGAAACCCAGTTTAACTTTCAGTTTCTTTACCAAGTTTTCTACATGGAGCTTAAAAGAGAGATGTGAGTCGACCAAGATACACAAATATTTATAGGAATCAACAAACTCAATGGGGACACCATTTGAGGATAAAATTGGAGGAAGAACTGCTGGGATCAACTTCCTATTTGAAAAAAGCATCCTTTTAAATTTCCAGATGTTCTCTCCTTCTTGCAGCTGAGGCCTGGTTCAGCTGCTCTGTGCTCGTTCTGTTGCTCGGTACTGATTCTGATGCTCTGTGCTTGTTCTGTTGCGCTGCTGTGGTACTGTTGCTATGTGCTGGTTTTGTTGCTCTTTATTGGTTCTGTTGCTCTGTACTTGTTCTATTGCTCTATATTTGTTCTGTTGTGCTGTGCTTGTTTGTTGTTCTGTGCTGGTTCTGTTGCTCTTTACTGGTTATTTTGTCCAGTGCTTCTTTATTGCACTGTGCTTGTTCTTTTGTTCTGTGTCAGTTCTGTTCCTCTGTGCTGGCAATGTTGCTCTGTTCTGGTCTTGTTGCTCTGTGTTGATTTGCTGCTCTGTGCTAATTCTGCTGTTCTCTGCTGGTTCTGCTGTTTCTGTGCTGCTTCTGATGCTCTGCTGGATTTGTTGCTCTGTTTTGATTCTTCTGCTCTGTGCTGTTCTCTTGCTATGAGCTAGTTCCATTGCTCTGTGCTTGTTATATTCCTATGTGTTGTTCTGGTGCTCTGTGCTCTATTTGTTGCTCTATGTTGGTTCTGTTGCTTTGTGCAGATTCTGCTGCTCTGTGCTGGTTCTGCTGCTCAGTGCTGGTTCTGTTGCTCTTTGCTGGTTCTTCTGCTTTGTGCTGGTTTTGTTGCTCTTTGCTGGTACTTCTGCTCTGTGCTGGTTTTGTTGCTCTTTGCTGGTTCTTCTGCTCTGTGCTGGTTTTGTTGTTCTCTGCTGGTTCTGCTGCTCTATGCTGGTTCTATTGCTCTGTACTGGTTTTGCTGCTCAGTGCTGGTTCTGTTGCTCGGTACCGATTCTGTTGCTCCGTGGTCTTTCTTTTGTTATGTGCTGATTATGGTGTTTTGTATTTATGTTGCTCTGTTCTCGTTCTAATGCTTTATACTGGTTCTGTTGCTCTGTGCTGGTTCAGGTTTATCTGTATTTGTTATGTTGTTCTATATTGGTTCTATTGCTCTGTACTTCTTTATTGCTCTGTGCTTGTTCTGCTGTTCTGTGATGTTCAGTTGCTCTATGATGGCGTGTTGCTCTGTTCAGGTCTTATTCCTCTGTGAATTTATTCATCTGAATGAAGTGTGTCCTCCAAACTGTTCCGTGTTCGGGACCCCGCGGGTTGCCAGGCGAGGAGGCGGACTTGCGCTCATCTATCAGGACTACTTTTCCTGCAGGCTCATGAA